TTAGTCTGTCAGCCGTAACCTGTGTCTCTCTTCCACTCAGGCTCACTCTCTCTTTATTATTGATGACCAGTGGGCCTTCTGACGAGGCAAGCGGATGAGGCACCACCCGCTGTTCTGTGCAGCACAGACACCCTAGCGTGCATGCATGTGGCTAGAACGTGCACGGGGCAGTTTGCAGCTGCAGATCATGCTGATCTTGGGAGGTTTTGTGCATTGTAACATGATGATTCGGTGATTCTGGGGGAATCTGGGAAATGCATTTGCCTCTTCTTGTGTAGTTTATTGTTTCTCTTAATGTCACTTCCTGCCCTGTTTTTGGATCCTGTAAACAATATTAAGGCGCTGTTGTTTTTGCTGTGTCATCTTTAAACAGTCTTTCTTTTTATCTTGATCATTTTTCTGGATCTTCCACACAGATTAAGTGCCAGATGAAAATATGTTGAAGCCTCTTAATGTTTTCCGTTGCAGAAGCGGTGTGTTTAAGGTACTCAAGCGCCCTGAGTGTTCGATCAAATTGTAAAGCAACAGAGAGAATGAAGCCAGTATGAACACTTTGAATTTTAATGGGTCTTTTCTTTGCAAAGACATTGAGTGAAGACAAATGATGCTGGCATTTTTGCAAAGTCATTCTTGTGAAAAGAACTGTGAGTTTCAGACCCTTGGATAGAAAGACTGTTTTCCTGAACTGGCCATTCAGTGCTTTGTTTGTCCGAGGGCACAGGGGATGTGAGCTGGCGACAAAAGGTTTATCCTCTGCATGCCCAATTCAAGATATAACCCAAATGTCTTGTTTGTTGTGGGTTGTTTACTTTAGTTTGTGTGTGGCTCCATGTTGGAGCTTTGATGCAGACTTCAATCAGTATGATAGAAATGGCTCGTTTTAGCTAAAATGTTGCCTTTATGTCTGCCTTTTGGGGAAATGAGACAGAAAGTGTCTTTGTTTTGTGCTTGGCAGAGATGAAAGAGAAAAATCCCATATACAACAATTGTTCTTCTTTTATTTAGATGATTTTTGGACTCTCCTGGAGTTCTGGGGTAACGCTGTAACAGCTATAACAGAATTGTTGTTGTAGCGGTCATATGTGGAAGCTTTTTATCTTTCCACCTGTGTTAGTCCTGAACTATTTTTTTTTCCTCCTCTTTGGCTACAGGAGCACGACATTGAAACGCCACATGGCGTTCTCCATGTGACAATGAGAGGCGTTCCAAAGGGTAACCGACCCATCATCCTCACCTATCACGACATCGGCCTCAACCGTGAGTCGGCCAAAAATAAGCTCATCAATATGCAGTGCTCTGTTCTTTGCAGCTAACAAAGACCGTTAACCCCTGCATGTCACATTTTATGTCTACGTCTTTCCACCTTTCTAGACAAGTCTTGCTTCAACACCCTGTTTAACTACGAGGACATGCAGGAGATCACCCAGCACTTTGCTGTGGTTCACGTCGATGCGCCCGGCCAGCAGGAGGGAGCGCCTCCCTTTCCCAGCGGGTGAGTGTCAGACTGGTTTTGCACGCTCCGATGAACGCGTACATATTTATTCATATCAGTGCTGTTGAGAGAGTTCCAATCAATTTGTGTGCATAGACAGGAAAGTGAGCTGTTGGTTCATTTTCTAATTGAAGTGCAGTCATCATCCAGTCTGTTCCTGAAGTATTTACTTACTTATGAATGAACTTGAAGGTAGCATTTTCTTTACTGCTCACATGGACTCACATGTGTCGCTCGTGCCCAGGTATCGCTATCCAACCATGGATGAGTTGGCCGAAATGCTGCCCTCTGTGTTGACTCAGCTGAAGTGAGTGTCCCCTGGCTGATAGCTAATTATTGATAAGATGATTTTGCCATAAATGAATTATTCATCTT